GCGCGCTGCCCGCGGGATAGAAAGGGGGCGAACTTGACGTTCGCAGCGCGAAGCAGAAAACCTTCAGCCCGCAGCCAGATGCGCCGCGGGCCAAGGGCGCGGGCGCGGACCGCGGACCGCGGGCGCAGAAAGACTCGGCAAACGGCGACGCCGCCACAGGCCACGCCCCACAGTCGCCGAACAGGGCCCGCATCGGTTTTCGAAAGCCACCCCGAAATAACCCGGAAGGGTCCTCTGGGGGCCCAGGCCTTGGCCACCGGCAGGAGCCTACAGATAATGCAACGCGGCGCAAAGCTGCGCAATGTGCGACGGCAGGCAATCCAACGCAATCTATCGCACCAACATGCCGCGCGACGCGCGGCGCAACGCGGCGCAGCGCCAAGCTCCGCGCGCTGTATCCAACGCGGCGCCATGTCATGTTAGCCTGCCATGATACGCCGAGAACCGCACTGCGATGGCGACGCCTTCCCAACCCCCCTTTTCCGCCCTCTCGCCCAACAGGCCGCTCGCAATCCTGCGCAAAGAAAACAAATGATAATCGCGAAGAGGAGACGAGGCCTGAACCCTCGATTGTCATGGCCCTCACGATCCTTTACCCTGACTCCCCGATCGCCCCCTCGCCTGGCCCCGGGCCCCCCGCCCCCCCCCGCCCTTCGCTGCGTGCCCCTCGCTCCTCGCCCCGCCCCCCCCCCCCCTCCTCCCACCCCGCCATCGCCATCCTCGTCCTGCCCCGCGCAATGTGGGGGGGCGCTTGCCCTGTAGCCCCCCTTCCACTTTTTCAGAATGATTTCCTCTTCGCATTCCCCCCCCCCCCTCCTCGGCGCGGCGCAGACGAACGCGGACCCATGACTGGCCCAGTTTTCGTGCGAAGGCGGGGCGTGCAGAAATATGTCGCTTTTGTGCAAAATCTGACGCCTCATTTCTGGCGCCCCGCATTGCGCTCTGCAAATTTGTTGCGCGTGTTCCGCCCCGTCAGCGCGCGTCGCTGTCATTGCCCAATGCACCAATCGACCAATTACTCAGATCCCCCCCCCTCGCCCCGCCCTTGCACGAGGCAGACGGCGCCGGAAGGGCCGAGGGCGAGGGCGGGCAGTTGCCGCCGGAGGAAACGGCGCCCGAGGCACGCCTCTCAACGAGGTGATGGGTTTGACGTTCGCGTTGCGGTTGGCCGTTTTGCGCGCGTGGAGATCTTCTTACTCCCACTGCCGCGGGATAGCTGACGGGCAGACGCGCCGCTGCAACGGCGAGGCCGGCAGAGCCTACATCCGAGGTCGGCCTCTCAACAAGGCGATGGGCCAGATCGCGCGCAAATTGGCGACGCAACGAAATTGCAGCAACGAGTTCGGGCGCCTCGCCCGAAGGGGCACTCCTCGACGGCGGAAGCCCAAACAGCTCGATCAGAACGGGGGGACCCCCCAAATCCCCATCGAAGGATTGGAGTCCTATCCCGACGCGAGGCCGAAAACTACAAGTGGAGCGGAGTGCGTCCTTCGCAGCCGACTGCAGGAAAAACGAATGCATGGACCTCCCTGGCATCAGCAGGTGACCGATAGTTTTCTACAGCGCCTCCGACTTTGCGGATGGGCGCACGGTCGGCCAACTGTTAGAGTCGGAATTGTTCGAAGTCGCGCAGTCTCCGGTATTTCGTTGATGGCTGCCTCATCCTCAAATATAACTCTGGGTACCCTTTAAGCCTATAGCACGCTTGGTGATCCTCCTCCTCTTCCTCCTCCTTCCCCTGATCATCTTCCTTTGCTACCCTCTGACCCTGCTGTCTTCAGTCCTGCGTTGCCTGGGCGCCCGCGCAGGGGCGCGCTGCACTCGTGCACCCGCGCGCGCGACACTGCGCGCCACCCGCGCGGCAACATAACAAACCATATACACAAAACGATGCACAACACCGTACAAACGCAACAGGAACGCGCACTCAATCACAACAACAGCACACATTGCTAATCCGATCGCGTCCACGCAGGCGTTGCTTGTCCCACAAACGGCATGTAGTTATTCTCATCGGATTCGCACACTAGTTCGACGATGTGGGCATTGCCCCTGCTTGTTTGAACGCGTTGTGGATTGCAGCGCTGCTTTCGCCATTGATTTCCGCAGTGGGTCAAAGCCTTCCCGCGCTACTTCAAAAAAGCAAAGTCGTCCGAACACAAAAAGGTGGCTGATGAATGGGACATGCCACAGCTAATATCTGACCCCCATGTTGTGCGCTGGCCAGGTGGGGCACATCCGTTGCAACATTTGAAGCTCAGTCCCCACAGCGGGTGTTCGCGGCACCTTGAGGGGCCAGTCCGCTGACAGCAGCTCGTGGGGCATCGTGGCCGTCACCACGAAGCCAACGTACCTGACGCCATGGTCTAGCGTTCGACATGGTTCCAAGGATCCTTGCGTCGCCGCCTGGGGATCGCGGCCAGCGTGGGGCCAAGCGGCGCCGCGGGGGCCGCCGCCGCAGGCGCGCCCACGGGCGCCCCCTGGGCGCCGAGCGACAGCGGGGCGGCAGGAAACACCAGCACGCCAGCCACTGGCGCCGCCGCGGCCGCCGCGGCTTGCGCGCCACGGGCCGCAGCCAACCTGGCGACAGTTCCCGCAAGAGGGGCCTCCAGCGCGCCCGCCGCTGCCGCGCCTGCAGCGACACCCCATGAGGCAGGCGCCACGCCCGCCATCGGGGGGGGACGATGCTGCGCCCCACGGCGCTCGTCACGACTGCAGCGCCTCCAACCGGCCCGAGCGTGGCCCGCGCCGCCGCCGTGCCCGCAGTCACCGCCGCGGGCAGAGGAAGTGCCCGACACTTGTCGACTTCGTCTGCTTGTGGCCCCGACCGCCAGGATGGCGAACTCCCCCACGTCGACGCCGCTCTGGCACAGGATCCCGGGGTAGGCGTGATCGTCAGGCGTCAGCGTGCCGGTCGCACACGGCGCCACGAGCCCGAACCCGAGGACGAACCTCTCGTGCCACTGGCGAACGAGCGTTTCCGACTTGACATCTGGTCAGCACAACGTCGCCCTCGTCAAGCCTCATCTGAGGCCTGGGGATGCGCAGAAGCGACCCCTGCCGCTCCAGCACCAGCTGCCGTCGCTCCACGGAACGGTGTACCGACGCCGCGCGAGGTCGGCTTGCTCGCGGGCCAGCTCCTCGATGCTCTGCGCCGCGGGCTCCGGGGCCGAGCCGATTCAGAGTCGCCCCGCTACAAAGCCCCCGGGCGTGCCCACCAGCAGCGCCAGCAACACTGAAGGGAGCGACCACCCAGGCGAGGCGGAGTTGTCCTTCGTGATGACGGCATCGGCGCCAGGGCTGCGGGCGAGCGGCGAGCACACGAGCGCACGTGCAGTGAGGGCATTCGGTCCGCGCCACCGGATAAGAGCGGCCTGGGAGTCGTTGTTGGCCAGCACCTGGATCGCCCACCCTGCGAGAGGCATCGAGCTGCCTCGACATGCGCTTGAGCCCGAATGAAGCGGATGCGGGTTGGGCGTGCGGCCCTCTGCCTGATCACTGCTCTGTCTCACGTGGTTACAACGGTCCATAGAATGAACATACGTGTGGACACATGCGCGCACATGTATGGAAAATTGTGCATGCGCACGCGCCGTGCTCTCAGCCGGCTATGCCCCACTTGTGCCAAGCAGCATGGCGTTAAGGACGCCTACGACCTCCACTCCAAATCGAGGACTGGTGGCCCAGGGTGGGGGGGGGCACGCGAAGGAGGGAGGGGAGGGCTGGGCAGGTGCCCTCTTCTGACTCCCTGTAGAAGCAGCGGAAGTCCTCGTCCACGAAGGGCAGCTCCGTGGCGGCAAGACGCCTACCCTCCACCCAGCACTCGGTGTACCACCTGTCCAGCAGGTACAGGTGGCCCTCGGCGTACCCTTGCGCCATTGCCTCGGGTGCCCGCACCACCTTGGCGACGGTGGCCTGCCCCACGAAGCGATGGTTCGCCGAATAGTTCACGAAGTAGCCGTCGGGGGCCACCTCCAGGGCCACCTCCCCCGCGGACCCCAGCCTCGTGGGTTGCAAATGTGTCACAACAGGCGATATTTCACAACGGGCGAGTTCGCCTGTTTTCGGGCCGCAAGACCATCACATATCGATTCCGCTCGAGACATGTCGCAGAACGATGCTGGATAGGGCTCCGGACGTGATTTTTCGCGATGGTGATTTTTGTTCGCACCGTCGGATCGCATGGTAATGCTCCTGACCAAGGGCGTCTCTGGCTTCTCGCGCCATCTTGGGCCCCCTGGGGGCTCTTGTGGACGTCAGAAATTTGTTATTACCACCTTCTGTTGGCTGTTCTTACCCATCTCGGTGGTATGCTCCTACATGTTTATGGAGCGTGCTCGTGGAAAGTTCGAAGATCGGTTCTGAAGTGTGTGTGGCTATCCTGCGGTTATAGGGCGCTCTGGAGGGCACCTAATCTTCCCTGGAAAGATTGGACCGTGACCACCTCCAGGCATCAGGCAGTGTGATTCTTACCATGCAGCCAAGGCCCGGAAACCGCCCCTGGATGTCGGGGGCGTCAAAGAGGGGCTCGTCCAGGAGGGGGGGTCGCAAATCATGGGACGAAGCATGTGCGCGGCCCTGGGGACGCACTGAAATAAGAAGAGGCACCATGAAATCTGGGGCCATGAAATCTGAGGAGATGTCATGGCCCTAGCAATGATATCCCGACCCCCTAGCCATGACCCTCCTCTTAACCGCCCCCGAATATGTGAAATCGAACGAACGGCCGGGATCGAAAACAAAACACCTCGTCAGATGAGTCAGATATCTGGGCCCCTGGCAGCACCCGGCAGCCTATACACGCCTGCGATGCGCTGCAGGTGCCTCACGGCGCTCTGGGCCAGATGGAGCTCCTTGGGAGGAAGGAGGAGACGAAAGAGGAGGAGGTGGAGGAGGAGGACTGGAAGAGGAGAACGGGAAGAGGAGGAGGACGGGAAGCGGAGGAGGTGGAGGAGGAGGGAAACGGAGGAGGGAAGAGGAGGAGGGAAAAGGAGGAGGGAAGAGGAGGATGAGGAGGAGGTTAGGGAAGAGGAGGAAGAGTAGGAGAAAAAAGAAGAGGAAGGAAGAGGAGCAGGAGGAGCAGGAGGATCAGTGACGGCGCGAGCCACGCGCGTCATCTTCCAACACGTGCGTGTTGCCCGTTCGCTAGCCGCACACATGCAAGCACGCGCCAAATACGCGCTGAGCTGTTCCGGCTGTCCCACCGCAAGATTCCTCGGAGCCTGGGCCGCTGCACCGGCACCCGGACAAGTTCATCCTGCCCCGAGCGCAGGTCTCCTCTTTCCGCGGCCGCCTCCCTCCCTCGCCTCTTGTCATTCTGCAGGTTAGCTCTTCGGCATCCCCACCTGGCTCTTCCAACCAGTGCGAGCGCCGAATCCGAGACAAAATATATTCGGCACACAGATCCCCGTGTGTACATCCCACTTCCTGGCGCTTCCGTCTGTGAGCGTCTGAATGAGCCTGTGGCGACTGAACGGTCCCTGGCGGCTTCCTTCTGGAGCGCCCAAATTCGATGTCTACTGCATCGGTATACTCTTGGGGCTCTGAAAGAAAAGGGGTCGGGGATACCTGAAGCAGCGCTTCGTCTGACGCGCTCGAAACATCCACACGATCTGCTCTGAACGTAAAAGATCCCAGCTGCGAAATGACATCCCCACTGTCTAGCCGCGAACGGGCGAATGTAACACCTCCTGGCGGCGCCCCCGTGGGGTGCTAAAACAAGCACCTCGCTCGATACATCCTCAACGATCTGCTCTGAAAGCAAAACAAAAAATACAACGAAACATGCAAGTCGCCTGAACATTCCCACAATCTGGCAGCGGAGGGGCGAATGTAACACACCCTGGTGGCTCCCCCTTCCCGCGCTAAAACAAGCGCCTCGCTCGAGGCATCCTCACGATCTGATCTGACAGCAAAGGCAGTCCCAGCCAGGAAACAAACACAATGCCGGAGGATCCCCACAATCTGGCCTCGAACAGGCGGGCAAAAACTGGCAAACCTCTCGATACAACCCCACAATCTGGCCGCCATTGGGCGGGTGTGGCTCACCTAGCGGCTCCCCCTCGGGGTGCCCAAATGCAACGCCTGATCCGTCGCGGTGCTCATGGGGCTCTCACAGGAGACGGGTGTGCAGGGGGGCAAAGACAGGCACACCGCTTCAGACACTCCCGCAATCTGGGCGCGAACGGGCGGGTGTAGTAACACACCCTTGCGGCTCCCACCTGGGGTGCCCAAGTGCCACGCCTGCGTTGTCGCAGCAATCACGGGGCACTGAGAAGAAAGGCACCTGGGGATAAACACCAAGCAAACTGCTTGGTACCTTCCGGCAGTCTGGCCGCGCCTGCGCTGTCGCAGTGATCATGGGGCTCTGAGGAGAAAGGCATCTGGGAATACACACCAAGCAAGCTGCTCGATACCTTCCGACAGTCTGGCCGCGAACGGGCGGGTGCAACTCCCCCCTTGCGGCTCCCCCATCGGGGTGCCGAAGTGCCACGCCTGCCCTGTCGCGGTCTTCATGGGGCTGTCGAAGAGTCTTTGGGGGGGCAAGAGCAGGCACACTTCTGGAGACATCCCCACAGTCTGGGCGCGAACGGGCGACTGTAACACTCCAAGGCGGCTCCCGTCGGGGTGCCTGAATGCTACGCCTGCTGATGAATTCGCTGTAGTCGTACTGCGTGCATGAATGAATGAATGATCACACTGCGAAAGGTACGAGTTGGCTGGACATGAGCAAATCTGAGTGGGAGAGGTATGAGTGTGTGTGTGAGTCTGAATATGAGCAGGTCTGAATCTAAGTGGATATGAGTGGGAGCGAGTCTGATTGTGAGTGAGTTTGGGTCTGGGTCAGTCTGAGTGTGAATAAATCTGAGTCTCTGAATGATCTGAATTTGATGAGAGGAAAGAGGCGTTCGTGAGTGAGAAGGCGGAGGCATCACACGAAAAGCAAGAGCCCCATACTCAGAATATTGGGAAAATTAATTTGCCCACTTGACGTTTGTACCAAAGACTGGTCGTTCCCCAAAAGTGCCGGAGGCGACTATAGGGGCGAATAGCCCAGGGGGAGCAATGTATGATGTATCAGGGGATGCCAGTGGTCCATGTCTTCGGCGAGGCCACCTGGAGAATGCGCGCAATGCCCGCCCCGGGGCTATTCGCCATTGTTTGTTGCCTCCGGCATTGGCACGCCCGAGATGGGCACAGAAAACATGGGCACGATGCCCAACAACAAATGCTGTCCAAAACTGCCAGCGGCCACTGTTGGGCACGCGAGGCTTCTGCCCCAAACATACAAATGTCTGCGGCGACACCGACAGCGAGCCCCGCTCGAGATGGGCAAGCACGGGTGTCGGCCTTCGTCCTAATTTTGTCATGCCCATTAGGACCGTCCAGGCGACAATACGAGGGGCAACGATAAAGGGGACTGGCTTGGGGGGAGAAACATCGACCTGGAATATGCGATACATAGACCCGGATGTATTGGCGATACATAGGCCTGGCGGCCCCAAGTGGCGAATCCAAATGCTCCTGGGCGGGATGGGCTATCGGGCCCCCTATCCGCAATCAATGGGCAGTGTGGGGTCGATGATTTATCCCTTGGCCCACCCACCCCTAACGCTGCCCCATGGCCAGCGGGTCATAACTCGGCTCCATGGCGGTCGTTAGAAACGATCTGGGCAAGCCCGAAACGCTCTCGACGAGGCGCAGCCGCTGAAGGCACCCCGAGGCTGGAAAGCCCGCGGGTTGCCCGCTGACCGGCATGACGTTGGTGCTGCTGCTCTCCCGAACGCCGACCCACAGAAGAAACGCGCGGAGCTCCAACTGTTTGTAATGATGCAGCTGTTTTACGGGCCCCCAAATCCGCTCGGTGACGGACCGTGTGGTGACCTCAGAACCCCCCACGACCTCACTGCGCGGTCCGTTACCACACGGTTCTGGGACTCTGACGGCCCCAGCCGTCCGAGACACCCTCGAAGAACGACCCGAGTCCGAAGAACGAGCGGCGGCCCCGCATTCCCCTGGACCCACCACGCGGCGTGGTCATCACACCGTCTGGGGACCCCGATGTTTCTTCTTCGAGGGGTGGGGTGGCGCGACCAGCGTGACTAGAGGCAAAATGAACTGCAAAAACTCGGAGGCCCGCGCGGATTTCTTGGATCGGCGCTGGACCCCACCCCTCCCTGGTGCGCGGAGCGCGCCGTGGGCGGCGATGGAGGCGCCGTCATTGTTTTTTGGTCATTGGCGCGGAAAACAGCACGCGCTACGGCCCCACCGAAGGTGCTGCCCTGGCCTCAACTCTCGTGCCCGTCACACGGCTCAGATGTGCTCCCCCGGCGAGGCTGCCTCAGCCTCTGCCGTGCCCCCGGCCTCGGCGCGCCGCGGAACCCAGCGCGCACGCCGGCCTGCGGCGCGCGGCGGGACAGCCAGCCCGCCAGGAGCGCCTCGTCGCGGGCAGCCTCCGCGCGCCCCGCCACCCTGGCCTTCTTGGCCCTCGCCTGGTGCCAGACCGCAGCAACAAAGGTAGCGGCGGCTGTCGGCCGCCCGGGCTAGCCGCTAGTTGGGCCCACGGCGCCGCTCGGGCCGAGCGGCGCTCGGCGGGGCGAGCAGGAAGCCTGTCTGCGCCGCCTGGCTGCCGGGCTCGCGAGCGCCGTCGGCGGGCGCGGCCTTGCGCTTGCAGCCGCGGGCGCGTCTCGGCCGCTCCGCCTCGCCGCCAGGGTGTCTTCGGCGCTGATCCGAGAAGTCGCGCGGAGCGCCGACAGTTTATGCTTATGCAGTTTTTGCCGCCAACCGCTCTGGGCTTGACCCGTCCCCTGAGCGGCCCTCCCCCCCTTGTTTTCCTCCCTCCCTGCGGCCGCCCGCTTTTCCGCCTTCCCCCCCTCTTGCACTGTGGCCAATTCGCGACAACGGTGCCCCGTTTAGCTAGCTTCATCTGCCAGCGCAGACGACCCCTGCCTAGCCGCCGACGGAAAAAAATAAGCAGTTTTCTGATTTCCGATCCTCGAGAGGTGGGATGGCGCGCTAGGCGTGACGTTGACGATGCTGCCCTCCCGAGGCTCCTGCGTGGGCAGCCTCGGCTCCGCGCCGCTCGGCCGCCGCCACCGCGACAGGGCAACCGTGCTGGCGATCAGGCGCCGCAGCTGCCGCTCCTTGGGGGGGAGCAGCAGTCAGGAGCAACGACAGGGTGGAATAGGCTCGGGGGGGATGGGCTCGGGACGGGGGGGGGGGCGCGAAAATTCGAGGTTTGAGGTTCGAGGTTTTCGGGTGTGTCCGTGGGCTCACGTCGGCTTTCCAGCCTCAGGGCGCGTTCCAGCGGCCGCGCCTCGCCGAGGGCGATCCGGGCGTGCCCGGATCGTCCCGAACGGCCACCGGAGGTCCGAGTTATGGCCCACAGACCAGGGGGGGGGGAACGGTAGGGGTCAGGGGGGGCCGCACCAACCTCCAAACGCCCATTCATCGCCGACAGAAGCCCGACAGCCCCGCCCCGCCCAAGAACGTGCGGACTCGCTGTCCGAAAATGGGCAAAAGCACAAGGAGCTGCAACATCGCCCTCGCCGCCGATATTTCTTCGAAGGCCTCACAAATGGGGTCCGAGAACATGGGGGTCGGAGGATCGCGCCGTATCACCAGTGCATCGCCGATGCGTCGGCTACGTGCTCCCCAGGGCTAAATGTTCGCCCCAGGGCAAGTGTTGATGGCAAAGAGCCCGATGACAAGCCCCAGGGGATCAAGCCGAGGAAAGACACCTGGATGGAAAAAAAAAAATCGTCGGAGATCTGCGAACCCAGACCCCGCGAAGTCATCATTCTTGCATCATGAACGTGGACCCCAGGAGGCCTGGACCCCTTCCTAGGGACCGGTGTTTCATCTTCAATAATTTTCTGACGTCCCCGAGGCCCGGCAAGGGCCCTTGCAAACCAAACGTGCAGAAACACCGTCCGTCGTGATTTTCTTACGGCGCGAAACCATCTGGCAATGCTTCTGACTACCCACCAAGCCACCCCAACCCAACCCGAAGTCGCCGCTGGGCCTGTCGATTTCCAGCGGGGGGGCGTTCTAGAACATCGAGAAACACACAATGGAACCCGTACACCACTCAACCCGAAATTTGAGGGGGGCTGGGACCTTCGGACTGGATTGGGGTAGTTTGGCAAGTAGTGAGCTTCATAGTTCCCCAATCCATCGCAGCCCCCCTCACGCGCTACCGCGCCTCAAAGTGACAGACAGAACGCGCGCTGCCACTACACATCGCCGCCCCCCCGCCCCCCCACGGCACCGCGGAGCAAGCCTGATGCCTGCGGCCACACCCTCAAGTATCGGGGGCGTGCAAACATGGATTAGCGATCCATGGATTTGGCGCGCGGTCACCAAATCCATGGATCGGGGGAGGTGCTCTCCCCAAAATGCAGCCGTTGCCGCCTCGTTCGGCGGTGAAAATCCACGATTTCCCATGGAAGCGTGACCCGACGCTACAATCCACGCCCCCTTGATCCATGTTTGCGATCGCCTGAAAGTAATGAGCTTTTTCTCCCCCCGGCTCCGCGACGCCGCCCTCCCCTGCCGCGGCGCGGTGCAGCAACGCCCCCGCCGCCGCGGCCCTCGCGAGGTCCCGCGGGCCCAGGCACTCCAGCACGCCGTCCAACAGGCCAGGGTCCACGAGGGGCCCGCCGCCGGCTGGGCACCCCTCCTCCACCTTCCCTCCTCCCTCTTCCCTCCTCCCTCCTCCTCCTCCTCCCTCCTCCTCCTCCTCCTCCTGCTCCTCCTCCTCTTTCTCCTCCTCCTCCTCCGTCTCTTCCTGTTTCTCCTCCTCTCCTCCTCCTCCTCCTCCCTCCTCCTCTCCTCATCCTCCTCCTCCTCCTCCTCCTCCTGCTCTCTGCTCCTGCTCCTGCTCCTGTTCCTGCTCCTGCTCCTGCTGCTGCTGCTGCTGCTGCTCCTCCTCCTCCTCCTCTGCTCCTCCTGCTCCTGCTCCTGCTCCTCCTCCTCCTCCTCCTCCTCCTCCTCCTCCTCCTCCTCCTCCTCCTGCTCCTTCTCCTCCTCCTCCCAGCGTCACCTAACGCGAAGGCCGCACTGTCACTTGGAGTCGACGCATGGGGGTTTGAGACGAGGAGACGGCCGTTTTTTTGCCGTAGTGGAGGGTTCAACTCCCTCGCACCATGGGTTCCATGCACAGGTGAGGCGCGCGATGGTCCGCGTAGCTGGCCCGCAATACGAGGGTCGGCGCAGCGGGGTCCGCGCAATCAGGAACTGTATCGTCTCAACAAGTGGGTGTTTCGTTCACCCCAGCACCACCGGAGGCGGTACATCACCTCGGGGAAGGTGGCGCAAGTGGGCCGGCGTCAAGCTCTTGTCCTATCCCAGCGCACCTTTTCGTCTCTTGGTTCCTCTCGCCGCTGGAGCTTCGCCCTCTGGTACCTCTGGAGTCGGCTCCAACAAATTATTGTTCTGCCTCTTCTGCTCTGGCCAGCAGGCCTCGCAAGGCGTCTCGCACTGCTGCGGGGCGTTGTCACCGTAGGCGCGGTCCCCTGATGATGCGCCAGGGTGCCCGCCACGTGGTTCCGCGTCCTCTGCAATCATTTCTCCCTGTTCGTCGTCGCCCTCCCTCGAGTCTTCATCCTCGTCCACGATCTCCTCGGTCTCCTCGATCTGCTCGGTCTAGCGCCTGGCCTTTCGATTGTGCCGACGCCTCCGTTGCTTATCCCTTCTTGCTTGGTTGGTCTCCTCGGTCATAGGTCGAGCCCGCGCACGGCCTTGGTTCTTCTTGGTAGGTTTTTGGACCCCCCCCGGTTTGTCCACTGCTTCCTCCAGGCCCGCCACCATGCTGAAATGGCCTCTTTTGTCGTTGAAGGCGCGCCTGACCTTGTGGAGGCGATCCCGCAGATGTCTCTGGAAGTAGCGGTTCCAAGAGGCCCAGGTGTGAAAATTGAAGGAGGATTGCGTGAGCTGGTTCATTCTGGAACGCTAGATGCGTTGCATCTCCAAGCGTGCCGCAAACCCATGGAGGAAGATCGGCAGCCCCCCGGTCCGAGAGCCTTGTGCTCCAGCCCCTCAAATTGATGTTGAGCGTATGCGAGTCCGTTCTCCGCCTCGATGCGCTGCTTGGCCAGCGCTGTCCTGATCTGCTGCAAGTCGAGGCGCCGCTGCAATTCGACCAATTGAATTTCAGCTCGAGGCTCCTCTCCCGCTTCCTGGAATTGAACGATCCTCTTCTTGCGGACCAGTGAACCACCTTCGGCTCCATGCATCTTGGCGAGCACCTGGTTCAGACGACGAACTCACAGCTCGAGGTTCTGGGTCGTCGCCATGAGGAGTGCGACGCGGGCCTTGACGTGGTAGACATGCGGCACCGAGTCTGATGGCAATCCAACCCCTCGGGACCTCCTCAGGTAGCTCGAGGCGGTTGACGTGATCCTCGAGGGTCTTGTTGTAGTCGTCCACGCGGCGTGCCCTTGTTGCTTTTTTCCACCTCTGCGTTCGATGATCCTCTGGCTAGTGCCCGCCGTCTTCCAATCTCTCTTCTTGGCATCAGATGACAGGGGCTCCTCGTCGGCATCCTCCCTGGCCACGTAGCCCACGGCATCGCTGCCGACGCCGTCATAAACGATGACGCATCTGCCCCTGCTGGATCCGAAGCGATGCGCGGAGTGCGGATTGCGCACTTCGGTGGCCCTGCGCTGCACGTCACGCAGCTCTTCGTCGATCTCCATAGTTCCCGCGCCGTCCACGCCCATGGGGCCCTGGAAGTCCGAGTCGGGGCGAGTCTCCTCCAGGGCCCCCTGGAGGAATTATCGGCTGGTCTCTCGCACCTCGCCTGATTCTTGCCCTTCCTGAAGGCCGCGGTTGAGAGACGTGCGCGGATGGCCCTCAGAGGGCGCCGCCGGCGCCGAGCGGCGGGAAGCAGCCCAGGGGGGCAGTCGGCCGATGCAGCCGCTGAGCCACCTGAGCCGACGCCCATCTTCTCGTCGTAATCCTCGCAAACAAAGAATGCGTCGTCCATGGTGTCGGCGTCGCCGTCGACGTCGGCGAGATCACCCTGTTCTCCTCCGCAGACGGGTTGATCGTCGAGTAGATGCACCAGGGGCCCGAGCTCTGGGCCCTTGGGCGGCGTGGCTCTGCAGGTAGGAGGAATCCCAATCACAGAGCCAACATCGCAAGCTGTAAACTGCGGCGCGCCCTGACAACTTGCTGACGCATCCGCTGCGCGGGAACGGCAAAACAGAAAAACACACACCGAAAGAGATGAGCCTGCAGCAGGTTGGATAGGAGGGGCGGATCGCTTCGGAGACGCGCGGGAGAAGTAGTGTTCGACGGGGGAGCGTTTTTCGGTCTCGAATTGCGTTTCCCGGTAGCCAATCGATAAGCTTTCCTCCTCTCCGGCCCCCTCTTTTTCCCACCCAATTATGCGAAATTTTGCCGTCTGCATAGGCTGTAGTAGGGGTTGCACGCGCCCGTCTAATTTCGCCAAACCATCCGCAAGCTTCAGTTTGCGTGGGAAGCGGCGACACCGACCACCGAGGTTCTCCAGGGAATTCCGAACCACTGCGATCCCCGGGGCAGCTCGCTTCTCCTTCGAGGAGAACTGTTCCCGAGTGATACAGCCGTATAAAGGTTTCGCGTCGGTCATGGTGAGATGTCCAGGTCGGGATTTTGCTCCATGATAATCGTCACCCGGATTTCTCGGTTCAAGGCATGTCGATCTCGGAGCTCGTATCGGAAATCTTGAACGGTGAAAAAGCAACGAGGTAACCCACTCGGCCTCTGCCAAACCCTCGGACATAGCATTCGCCTCCACCGCAAGAGTAGAGCTCCCAGAGCGCTCAGTCTCGTGGGGATGCCAGGAAATAATATTGACGTCAGCTTCCTTTCCCACCGGGGGATCTTCATCCGCGGCACCGATCGCGGCGCCAGCGTCCTTGAGGCGCCGCAGCGCAGCATTTGCCTCGGAGTTGGGCAGAGTGCTGCTCGGGAGAGATGCGTCCCGCGAGCCGTTGGGCATGCCCTCTCGGCATGTCCAAGCGAGTCTCCCACGCCGGCCGCGCATGGCGGTGATCGCCTCTGGCGCAGCGGGTAGTTCGGGGTTCTTGCCGCGCCCTCGTGGGAGACTGATAGGTCGAGCTCGCTCTGCATGATGCCGCGCCATGGAGATGGTGAAATCGATGATTAACGTTGTCGCAACGTGCGCCCGCCGTACTCAGCAGCGCCCTCCATGGACTCAATCCATGTTCCGAATTTGAACCGCTTCCGTAAGCCAGACATGCCATCGCAATATATATATATATATATATATATATATATATCCAGCGCCGCCCCCCAACAAATCATGCGCTTCGATGGCAACGAGACCCGAAATTTGCTCAGAGCATCTCGAGCTCGAGCGTCTTGTACCTGAGCATGGCGCAGGGCGCCAGCGGATGGCGAGCGAAACAATGCTCCTTGAAAGCTGTCAGAAGACTTCTGCGCCAGCCTGGAGGGCCGGCAGCGAGTCCATGGACTTCTGCCAGGAGTTCAATCACCAGCAATTCGTTGGGGTTCCCGCCAAGAATGCCACCCGCAGGGAGTGAGGCAAAAAGGGACTCTCCCCGCTGATTTCGAAGCGTTTGAGCGAAAGCCGACCTGGCGTCGCCGACCCAAGCCTTTGCTTTGATAGAGGACAAACAGTGCTGAGCAAGAGGCACGACTGCTGTGGAAGGCGCAGGCACGGCACGACGCAACACGACGATGTCGGGGTCGCGAAATCCTTGGATAATCAATAGCGATTAGGCGCCAGGGTTCTTTGGGGCAGCAGGATCATTGAGCTCGCTGTCGCGCTCCGCTCCTGCATCCTCCCACTTATCGCGCCGCCGAGAAGGAATCAGTCGCGTGGGAAATTTGCGGCGCATCTCTGCAGCAGCCGCGCCCTCATGGACAGGCGCTGCTTTGTTGCCGTCAGGTCCAACAGCGCAGATCTCAGGCCATTCTTAATGACGGCTGCCAGTAAGTCCAAGAAACCGCTGTTTAAGATGATCAGGTAAGGGGTTGATATCCATGTCATCCTCAGCCCGCCCTTTCTCGATGCAGAACGTCTTGGAAGCATTGGGGAAGGCTGCTTCTGATTGACGCGCAATGTAAATGCGCTCCAGGTCGGGTGTCTTTTGCGCCCCCGACAAATCATCTGCTACCTGAATGAACATTACGACTGCAGCCCACGTAGAAGTAACCAGTTCATCTGCGGAATCGGCAGAAGGAAGAACGGGAGGTGCAACCGTAGTCGGCGCCAGCGGCGGCAGGCATGACGACGCAGCGGCGGGCCAAGGCGCGCCCGAACCTCGAGCGGCGGCGCTGGAGGAGGTTTCCCCCGGCGCCCCCGCCGCAGAAGGGCGCCTCGACCCTGGCTCGCCCTGCGGTTCAGCGAAGGAGGCAGCGTCTAACGAAATCGAACTTGTCGATCGTCGCTTTGAGGCGCGGTGCGTGCCAGTCCAGGTTCTCTGTAACTTTCCGCGATTGGTGACAGTCCTGCGTCTTCTGGCGGTGGCGATCGTGGCTCGTGATCGGCATCGATGTCAGAGTCGTCGGGAACTGCATCGGCCTCCGCCGCCTAGGTCGAATAGAAGCTCGTCTCCAGGGAATATCGGATGTTCTTCTCTGGTGGCGTCAACGTACCGACGAGCTTCACGAGTGCGCTCGAGATCAATCTTAAGGTCACGGAGG